GCCGCTATCCGTGCCAGTCGTCCAGGCATAGCAGGCGTGGCACTTTCTCGACACCATAGGGGGTGCGCAGGGGGTGGTCCCTGAGCGCGGCCGCTATCCGTGCCAGTCGTCCAGGCATAGCAGGCGTGGCACTTTCTAGACACCATAGGGGGTGCGCAGGGGGTGGTCCCTGAGCGCGGCCGCTATCCGTGCCAGTCGTCCAGCATAGCAGGCGTGGCACTTTCTCGACACCATATGGGGGTGCGCAGGGGGTGGTCCCTGAGCGCGGCCGCTATCCGTGCCAGTCGTCCAGGCATAGCAGGCGTGGCACTTTCTCGACACCACACGGGGTGCGCAGGGGGTGGTCCCTGAGCGCGGCCGCTATCCGTGCCAGTCGTCCAGGCATAGCAGGCGTGGCACTTTCTCGACACCATAGGGGGTGCGCAGGGGGTGGTCCCTGAGCGCGGCCGCTATCCGTGCCAGTCGTCCAGGCATAGCAGGCGTGACATTTTCTTGACACAATAGGGGGTGCGCAGGGGGTGGTCCCCGAGCGCGGCCCCTATCCGTGCCAGTCGTCCAGGCATAGGAGGCGTGGCACTTTCTCGACACCATAGGGGGTGCACAGGGGGTGGTCCCTGAGCGCGGCCGCTATCCGTGCCAGTCGCCCACGCATAGCAGATGTGGCACTTTCTCGACACCAGAGGGGGTGCGCAGGGGGTGGTCCCTGAGCGCGGCCGCTATCCGTGCCAGTCGCCCAGGCATAGCAGGCGTGGCACTTTCTAGACACCATAGGGGGTGCGCAGGGGGTGGTCCCTGAGCGCGGCCGCTATCCGTGCCAGTCGTCCAGGCATAGCAGGCGTGGCACTTTCTCGACACCATAGGGGGTGCGCATGGCAGCGCGGCCGCTATCCGTGCCAGTCGTCCAGGCATAGCAGGCGTGGCACTTTCTCGACACCATAGGGGGTGCGCAGGGGGTGGTCCCTGAGCGCGGCCGCTATCCGTGCCAGTCGTCCAGGCATAGCAGGCGTGGCACTTTCTCGACACCATAGGGAGGTGCGCAAGGGGTGGTCCCTGAGCGCGGCCGCTATCCGTGCCAGTCGTCTAGGCATAGCAGGCGTGGCACTTTCTCGACACCATAGGGGGTGCGCAGGGGGTGGTCCCTGAGCGCGGCCGCTATCCGTGCCAGTCGTCCAGGCATAGCAGGCGTGGCACTTTCTCGACACCATAGGGGGTGCGCAGGGGGTGGTCCCTGAGCGCGGCCGCTATCCGTGCCAGTCGTCTAAGCATAGCAGGCGTGGCACTTTCTCGACACCATAGGGGGTGCGCAGGGGGTGGTCCCTGAGCGCGGCCGCTATCCGTGCCAGTCGTCCAGGCATAGCAGGCGTGGCACTTTCTCGACACAATAGGGGGTGCGCAGGGGGTGGCCCCCGAGCGCGGCCCCTATCCGTGCCAGTCGTCCAGGCATAGCAGGCGTGGCACTTTCTCGACACCATAGGGGGTGCACAGGGGGTGGTCCCTGAGCGCGGCCGCTATCCGTGCCAGTCGCCCAGGCATAGCAGGCGTGGCACTTTCTAGACACCATAGGGGGTGCGCAGGGGGTGGTCCCTGAGCGCGGCCGCTATCCGTGCCAGTCGTCCAGGCATAGCAGGCGTGGCACTTTCTCGACACCATAGGGGGTGCGCAGGGGGTGGTCCCTGAGCGCGGCCGCTATCCGTGCCAGTCGTCCAGGCATAGCAGGCGTGGCACTTTCTCGACACCATAGGGGGTGCGCAGGGGGTGGTCCCTGAGCGCGGCCGCTATCCGTGCCAGTCGTCCAGGCATAGCAGGCGTGGCACTTTCTCGACACAATAGGGGGTGCGCAGGGGGTGGCCCCCGAGCGCGGCCCCTATCCGTGCCAGTCGTCCAGGCATAGCAGGCGTGGCACTTTCTCGACACCATAGGGGGTGCACAGGGGGTGGTCCCTGAGCGCGGCCGCTATCCGTGCCAGTCGTCCAGGCATAGCAGGCGTGGCACTTTCTAGACACCATAGGGGGTGCGCAGGGGGTGGTCCCTGAGCGCGGCCGCTGGCTGGCTCGAATCTGTCCTTGATGGAGGATAGAAGGCTAGGAAGACGGAGGAGGTTCAAGCAATACGGCGTTGGATGACACAGAGGGGAACATTCGCGACGAGGGCTGAGAACGCAGAATTGCGCATATATCATAAACTTAAGCAAGCACATAAGATTTAAATTGAGTATGTGGGGTTCCTCGGTAGCGTAATTTTTGTGTATTTTGAATTTGTCGGCGAAAATCCTCCTGCAGGGGGACAGGCCCGACTTAATGCGAGTCAGATGCTCAGTGGGCCCGGGAATCGACAGTGCCGTTTTTGCTGCCGGTGCCGTTTTGCCGTCCTTTGGCCAGTTCCGACGCCGTTTCCGCTGCCGGTGCTGGCGCCTTCCTTTCCGGTTCCGGCTCCGCTGCAAATCCCAGAGCCTTTTTGTTCCTGTTTCCTGTCGCCGTTCTTCACCGTTCCCATTTTCAAGAGACATTTTCTGGAAACGGTGGAAAAACGGCCCTGCCGTTTCCAGGGCCCTTGAGGTCAGAGATTGGGGCCAGAGTCAATTGGCTGGCTGTCGCTGCCAGTTCTGATTCTTGGCAGCATCTGGAGGCGCGTGTGTCACGAAGTTCCTCACCCATGGCTGAAGCGTGCGGGCAGGCTCTGGATCCTATTGCGAAGGCCTTACGGCCGGTGCCGCCGACTCTGAAGGGGAACGACGACGGCGGCGGCGGCGGTAGCGACGACGACGATGCTGACGTGGGTTGAGTCCTCAAACGTGCTTCTTGGGGTTTCTTCCGAGCGCTCTCAGGGGCCTCTGGGGGGATGTTTGGGGGCCTCTTGGGAGCCTCTTGGGGCCTTTGGGCTTCCTGGGGGCCTCTTGGGGGCTTCTCGGGGCTGAGGGCTCGAAATGTCCGTTCGGGTCCCCCGTCTGGGCACTCTCTTGGAACCGTCTTGGGGGCCTCTTGTGCCGTCTTAAGCGTGCTGGCAAGCTCTGGATCCTCTTCTCCTGCTCCCCCGAGCGGGGCAGCCCGCTCTATAGAGGGGCGTGCCGCTCTCCCCGCTCAGCGTGGCCAGCTCCGGCTGAGAGCGATGCTCGTACGCTCGTGCTTCGTTTCGCGGCAAATCAGGAGGGGAAGAAACACACAGACACAATTCATCGTCGGTTCCGCAGAAAATATGGGAAAATATGGGAAGTGAGGGGGAAGACAAAAACCAAGAAAATATGGGGAAATATGGGGAATCTTTTTATGCGTGTGTATTTCTTTGTGTGTCCCAGGGCCCCTTCAGCAAAGGCGGAATGAAAGTCAAGACGAGAACAGAAAACAGTGCCCAGGTCGAGATCTGCGACAGGCCAGGGGCGTGCGGATTCGCGATTAGGGGCCAAGCGGTGATCTCTCGGCGGCGTAGCCCCGATGCCAGCTCGATGATCTCCCGCCCCCCCCTGAGCCGGTCTTCCCCCCCTCCACTCCTCGCCGACAGGGTCTTGACAGCCCAGGAGTGTTCGGCTTCCCGATCGAGGGCCAAGCGGTGGTCTCTGGTCGGCGGAGTATCCCCGATGCCAGCTCGATGACCTCCCGCCCCTCCTGAGCCATTCCCCCCCACCCGGTCGATCGCCCTCAACGGATCGAGCGCGCGGTCCCGCTGTTTTGCCTTAGGACCCACGAATTTGCCCCCAATCGGCCGTGACCGAGGGGGGGGGGGAAGTGAGAAGGAGAAGGCCTTCTCAGAAGGCTCGGAAGTCCCCTGGGCTTCTAAGAAGCTCCTTTAGCCTTCCCCGAAGACACCGAACATTTCTCAGAAGGCGGGGGGGCTTCTGAGAAGTCTCGCCGCCTTCTGAGAAGGCCTTCCCCTTCCCGCTTCCCCCCCTCGCTCGCCGCCAACCCCAGGCGAGCCAGCCTGGCTCGGGGTGCGGCTGCGGTCCTTTCGGGCAAGCATTGGGGGGCTTGGGTGTGATTGTCCCGCATCTCCACGCCCTGTTCTACAGTCGGCCCGGATTAGTAGGTCGACCCTGCCAGATCAAGGGTACCCTAATGTCCTGTGTCTTGCGACCCGTGCCTCCTGCATGTCTGTGGCAACGTGGCCCTCGGAAGGGTCTTGTGTCCTCTCGCGTGTCCTGTCCAATCAAGTCCGACTGTAGCAGGGGGGCGTCAAGACAGCCCACGAGGGCGCCGGGAGACCACCCGCTGATGCTTCCGAGGGCTCCACGGGGCCTCCCAGAGCACGGCCGAGCCACTTCCCGGGGTTGCCTGGGAGGCTCCAGGAGGGCCCAGGGCTGGCTTTGAGGGGCTCCAGGATGCGTTGTGGGCAGGGCTTCGGGCGCGGGCTGCGAAACATCTGCGCAGATCGCCGCTCTCTCTCTCTCTCTTTCCCATCTCCTTTTTTTGTTTTGCTCTCTCTCTCTCTCTGTCGGTGGGCGCCGCGTCCAGGGGTGTTCTCTTCTGCTGGCAAGTGCACGTCTGGTGCACGGAGCTTTTCGCTATTGAGAATATTCTGCTTCAGATGGACTTTGTATGGCCCGATGTGAGCTGGCTCAAAAAGCCATGGCATCGGCCGAGGAGGCAGAGTTCATATCTTGCGTCGCATCCTGCTATGCCGTGGCCCTTGCGCCTGAGTTGGCGGGGGCAGCGTGAAGGTGGCGTCAGCGCGGCGGGTGCTGATTCGGGTGGCCTGCATCTTTCAGGAGGGAAAAATACACACAGACACAATGAATCGTCGATTCCCAAGACGATATGGGAAACAGGAAATGGACGTCCGAGCGACGGCAAGACCCTGCTTGCCTCGAGGGTGTCCTGGGCGTCTTGGGTTTCGATGGTGGTTTTGCAGTGGAGAGCGTGACGCTCCCGCACCCAAAAATCCATGGTCGGCCTGGGATCTCGGGGTTGGTTTTTGTTTGTGGAAGGTCTCTTGTGGACTGTCCCCCGCTGTATTCCAGACGGCCAGATCGGCGCACCCACTTGGAGCGATGGCATGCAGCATGTTGCCAGGCGCAGACAGCTTTGCTGCTGGAGCAGCGCAAGGTCATTACCGGGGAGGTTGCCAACCTCACACAGAAGGTGGTCAACACCGAGAATGACAAGGACCCCGCCACCCCTCCACATTCTCCGATCGGGGAAACGTAAGACTCGAGTACGACGAAACTCGGGTTTGCCGACGCTTTTTGACGAGCTCGTCCTGGATTTTGACGGTCCAGTTGTCGTGGGATGTCTGCAGTGGGAGTTCGGGTCAAATTTCACATTAGGTCGCGTCATTTTCATGATGGCCCAGTCGGGCCAACCCGAGTATCTTACGCCTCGTCGATCCTATCATGATTGTTTGCTGTCATGGTGGTACACCTTGTCTTAGCAGAGGTTGTATGTGTTTGTTGCGCACGTGAATGTGGTAGCATTGCAGCGAGGCAGGGAAGTCGCGTCTTTCAGGCAATGCTGAACCAGGAGATCGCCGAGCTGGAGTCTCAGAACGCAGACCTTGGTGGGAAGGGCATTTGATGTCTCAGAGGATGAAGCGAAACTGATGCCGCTACCCTCCCCCCCTCCCCTGTTTTCGCCTTTTTGGCTTCCTGGTGGGCTCTCGTCGACCGTCCTCAGGGATAGGCTTGGCTCGAAATCCTTGTCAGAACGCACCACAGGACAGGGCCGTGAAGTAGCCGTATCAATATCGTTTTGTTCTCCCAATGTTATTCGCTGGCCCTTAGCTTCCACTGGTCATCCCAGCCATACTGCTCTTGCCCGCGTATGGCTTCCGTTATGCCCCCCAAACTTTTGGCTGGTAGTTTCGTTTCGCCCCAGTCTAATCGATCTTGCCGGACACCGCGAAGGCGGCTGGGAGCGGCCACCACAGGCTTGCTTCTCCCCCGGTCGGCGTCAGGGGTGGCGGCCCGCTGGCTGTTGGAGTCGCTCGGCGAAGCGACAGTCTGCACGTACAGTCGGGGCGCGGAAGAAGGAGCCCTGTTCGCTTGGGGGGGGGCTCAGGGTCCCTTAGCCGCTTTGCAGTTTGCCTTCGCTTTTCCTTAGTTTTTCGATGGGCAATCGAAGCTCAACTTGTGGAGAAAAGGGGCCTCGTTCCTTATTTAGTCGGAGCTGGATAGACCTCCTACCCTGACACGTCGATTCATGAATTGGCCGTTTTCGGTTCGCGAGAGGGCGTCGCGGCCGTCATTTTTGCGGATCCAGGTCCGTCGGTTTCGGTCCCAGGCCGTTTTCACCAAGGGGAGGTTTACTAAAGGGAGGTTTGTCCACCGCCGATTTCAGGGTTCCTTAGGGCAACACACCGACTGCATGTCGACAGGTTTGGCGGTGCGACGAGGCAGGGCCGAGCGCACGCGGAGCGCATCCATGCGGCAACAGGAGGCGGGCCGGCCCGCACCGCTTCTCAGGAGACCCGGGTGAGCGCCAAGAGGCCCACGAGAAGCCCCAAGGGGGGCTCCAGGTGGCGTGCGCGGCCACCTCCTGCACTCGGGGGCCACATGCGAACCCTACCCCTACCCCCCAGGATTTCCGAGGGTGAGAGTGGGGTTCACTTCGCTCCGGAGCTCCCGAGCGAAGTCCCTCAGGAATCGTGGGGGGTAGGGGTAGGGTTCACGTGTGGCCCCCTACCCAAGGGAGGCTCCAGGTGGCGTGCGCGGCCACTTCCTGCACACTTCTCACACGAACCTGCTTTCAAGGACGCGCAAGGGATATTTCCCCCCCCCCATCCGCGCTACGGCCTCAGCCCGCAAGGCGCCATGAACCGTTCTCGTGGCGGTGCTCTTTGCCCACCGCATGTCCAGTGCGATCTCTCTCAACACGGAGTCCAGTGTGAGCAACAAATTCGTATATTATGGTGAGGGATGCCCTCATATTATGCTACACCAGTGAATCCTAGACGCTTCGAGTAACCCCACCAGCCTGTCCAGAAACGATGCCAAAACGAGTTGCCCTGATCAGGAATGTGGAGGAGCATGCAATGGACTAAAAAGGCTGGGTAAGACATCAGAAGTACCCCAAAGATGGGGAGGATGAAGGAGGAATCGGAGGGGGAACATGAGGAGGACGAGGGAGAGGGGGAGGAGGAGGATGTAGGAGGAAGTGTGAGGAATAGTCGGATGAGGAGGAGGAGGAGGAGAAGGAAGAGGAGGAAGGACAGAAAGGCCAGAGGCATCTTGGATGCCTTGCAGGCCTCTTGGGGCGTCTTCTTGGGTCTCTTGGCAGTCCCGGTGGCCCCGTTGGGCCTCTTGGGTGCCTCTGGGGGAGCCTCTGGGGGGCATGTTGGGAGACTTCTTGGGGCCTCTTGGGGCTTCCTTGGGGCCGTCATTAAACACCCTTGGGAGCATCGGGGAGAATTTTGAAGGAGATCGATCTAGGGTCGGGCCGTAGTAGGTTAGTGTTGCTACCGCTGGGATGTGTCGGGGGGGCATGTCTCTGGTTGGCCCACAGTCGGGTGGGGGAGGGGGTGTATATTCATGAGGAGCAGTGATAAAGCCCTCCCAGAATGAATGAATGAATGAATGAAGCCGCGTGTCCGTAGGCACATGAGCAAAGGCACGATCGTGCGCTAGACAATATACTTGCGCACTGCTGCTTTCCAGGCTTCCGCTGAAAAGGTGCCCAAATTACTTACGCTGCAACTGGCATCACGACAAATACGCTGCGCATGCTTATACAATTCTGACGCCCACGCCTGCCGGGGTCTGCCCCTCTTCCGGCGGCCGGGCTGCTGCGTCAAGTTGGAGGAGGAAGGTTGGACAACGGCTTGCCTGACAGGGTGGTCGTTGCATTTGCGCGCAATATCACCGAACAAAATCAATTGCCGCTGCAACAGAAGGTCGCTGAGCTTGGCGCGCCGGGCTCGCTGTAGGACCTCGGCGTTGGAGACGCGACTGACATATGAATGCGCTGCGCCTAAAACTTTACGCAGGCACCGCGCCTGAAACGCATTCAATCTCGATAACTCGTGCTGACGTAACCAAGACGTGTGGAGACTATATAGGAGCGTCGATTCAACACATGCTGCGTATATAGTAAGCTTCCGCTTGGTCGACAGAGAAGAGTGCGACCAGACGCGCTGCAAAGAGTCAAAAACGGATCGGGCGAGGCCAACCCGCCGGCTCAGCTCTGCTCCGACGGACCCGTCGGACGTCAGGACGCTCCCCAGGTACACCATGCTCTTCTTTTCTGGGATTGGGCAGCCATCCGGCATGAGCATGGCAGCGGCGTTGCACCCTGTGGCCATGACCTCCAGCTTCTTCCAGTTGTACTTCAGACCGTAGTTGGCGCCCGCGTCCGAGATGGCCTTCATGTACAACTCCGCCTCCGCAGCGCCCGGGGCGACGATCAGCGTGTCGTCCGCGTACACCAGGTCGCTGACGTCGCCAGCGGCGTCGCCGAGCGAAGCCTTCGCATCCTGGAGGAGGACAGTCATCATAATGGCAAACAAGAACGGCGATAGGGGGCAACCCTGGCAGATGCCAGCCTGCTGCTCCCGCTGCCCCGAGGTTTTGCCAGCCTCGCGAACTGCGAAATGCCTGTCGGTGTATATCGCCTTGACAATCTGCAACATCTTGTCCGGCAGCCCGAAGCGTCGCAGGGCTGCGACGAGAGCATCGGGCATGACGCTGTCGAACGCCTTAGCCCAGTCAAGCGCAAGAAGCACCAGCGGCTTGTCCTGCCGCGCAAACGCCTCCTCCAATTTGCGCCTCGCAATGAAGATGGCGTCTGTGGTGCCATGCTTTGATTTAAACCCGAACTGCGTCCGCCAAATTCTGTCTTCGGCCCCTGCTCGCTTCAGGCGGCGCAGGAGAAGTGCCGCGAAGAGCTTATATCCGGCCTGCAGCAGGCAGATGGGCCTGTAGTTCTCGCACGCAGACGGGTCGCCCTTCTTGAAGATGGCGATCACCAAGGACTCGTGCCAGCTGAGCGGGATCTCGCCGTCTTCCCAGCATCTCTGACACAACGCAACGGCCCAAGCTCGCGCCGGTGAGTCTCGGCAACAAATGGCTTTCCAGAAGTCTCCGGGGATCGCGTCTGAGCCGCAGGCCTTCTCCCACTTCATCGCCTTTGCCGCTTCGACGACTTCCCATTCCTGGACAATCCCAACTTCCACCGGAAGCGCGGGGCCAAGCATAGCCGCCTGCATGGGAGTAGTGTTCCGCGCGGCCCACTGCACGCTGCTGAGATAGTCGGCCATTGTCTCCTGGCGGGCATCGGAGTCAACTAGCCCACCCTGCGAGTCTCTCAGCCGGCCAACCTTTGGTGCAAACCCTTTTCTCAATTTACGAACTTGACCCCAATCGCCGGTGGCGAGCAGGTGCTCTAGCCACTCTGCTCGGTCCCTTTTGACCGACAGCTTCACCTGCATATTCAGACTGCTCTCGGCAGCCACGTCCCCGCGGCGCCTGGCGTCCGTGCGCTTCATGATAATGTCCATGCTGCGGTCAGAGACCCATGGCCTCCGCGGCGCCGCCGGCAGGGTAGGGACCGAGGCTGCGGCCACGGAGAAAGAATCTTTCATGATGGCTTCGATGTCAGATGCAGTCGACACCGGCATGCTGCTCTCCAGCTCCTCTGCGCGGTCGGCGAAGGCGGCGGCGAACCGCTTTGATGCCCCAGGGAGGCGGAGGGCGCGCAGGTCGCGCCGGGCGGCCGGCTGCGGTCGCGACTCCTTGGGGACATCCACGTTGATGTCAGCATATACCAGAAAATGGTGCGAAGCCAAGGCACGCCGCCGGTCACTAGTCAGGAAAATCAAGCTGTCCAACCACTCCCGTGACATCAACAAGAAGTCAATCTGTCCGAAATTCTCAGGTGTGGGGATGTCAGACGGCGTCTTCCCGACGTTGTAGCATGTGATCTGCTGGTCAGCTGGGTGATCGAAACGCGTGTTTCCTATGAACAGTCTGTGTCTGGTGCAGACCTCTGCCAGCAGGCTCCGATTGGAAGCCGGATTGTACTCAGCCGTGGGATTGCCGAACACGTAGGGGCCCATGATGCCCTCCTCCTGCGGGAAACGGCGGTGGAGCCGAGCATTGAGATCACCCAGAACCAGTAGCGGACCATGGGACGATATACCAGAAAGGAAAGTACTGAGGTCGCTGTAAAAAGCCCGCCGGTCTTCAAAAGTTTTGCCGCTGTGTGGGGCGTACGCGCTGCAGACCACCATCTTGCCGCCAACGACTCGCAGCTTCAAGTAAGCCATGCGGGCCGTCTCCTGTCTGAAGCCGACCACGCTGTGGCGAAGACGAGGGGCGACAATGAAACCGACCACGGCCGTCTCCTCCTGGTCTGCGGTGGTGCCGGAGAAGATGGTAAGGAAACCGCTTTCTGAGACATGATAGTCGCACCCGGCCTTGTGCGTCTCTTGGATGCAAAGAATGTCGACGTTGAGGTGGGTCATGTGCCACTCCAGCTCTAGCTGCTTTGCGTCCGTGTAGCCCTCCACGTTCCAGGACGCCACCCGGAGCTGCCGAGAGCAAGGGCGAAGGGGGTCCCCGCGTAACCGAAGCGCCTCCTCAGCTCTACTGGAATGCCGGGGAGCAGGATGAAATAATACAGCAGCATTGCCGGCTGCTGCGGACGAGTGTTGGCAAGAACGAATTCGCAGCTGGTCGTGGTTCATGCGGGCAGTAGGGCCGACTGCCGGTGAAACGGGTGAAACATTGCTCATGCGCCGTACGTCCTAATGGGGCCCCTGCCCCTTAGCACCCCCTTTGGCGCTCCCTTTGGTACCTTTGGCCGCTCGCTTGAGGAGGTCATCTGCCTTCTTCGCGAGGTCCTTGATCAGCGGATTGTCGTGTAGCTCGGACCAGGTGGCCCACTCGCATTCCCAATTGTACTCCACGGAGTTGCCAACGACCTTGACGGTGAGCGCGTGCTCGCCCCCGACAGTCACGATGTAAGGCGCTTCGTTGCTGACCGAAATGCTGTAGGGCACCGACCACTCGCCCTTGAGGATGCGCTTAAGTCCGAGGCAGTAGTTCCGGGCGGCACGCTCTGGCGCAGACCGGTCTTCAGTGGCCCAAATTTTCTTGTCTCCGTTTGTGCAGCCAGCCCTGCGAAGGAGCTCCACTGCCTTGTCGCGCGCCTCCGTATTGAGAAACTCTGCAAACACTATTCCGCTAAATGCCCCTTTGCTGTAAACTTTAGACGGTGGAGGGGCTGAGAGGGACACCAACGTCTTCTCCAACCACTCGGTGGCCTGGGAGAGGTCGCCAAAGCCGTCCATGTCGCCAACGACCATCGTCACGAAGCGCTTGTTCGTCATCTGGCCGTTGGAGGTGGGGGTCGCGGTGACCGACGAAAAAGAAGTGCGATTCAACAAGAGTTCCTTGCAACGGCTGTGGATCATAGCCTCCGCTGCCTCGCTCGTCAGGGGGGCCTGCCGCATCATGTCCTCCAGCTTGTCTACGCGCAGGTCGGTGCTGATGATTGCCGCCTCCACGTCCTCCATGCGGCTGGACAGGGTCTCGCCGAGGGACGTGACCTGAACCTCTAGCTTGCCGAAGTCGCGGCGCAGGGCGTCCACCACAGATGTCATAGGTGCCAGCTGCTGCTGCAGTAGCTTGGCGATCCCGCCCATCGTCGCGGGCTCCGTGTCCATGATGGCGGCTTCGGCGCTCGAAAAGTCCGGCTGCCGGATCGGGCTCACGGACCGCCTGTCTTTCATTTTACCCCCGTTGTCCAGCAGGTCGTCGTCGTCCAAGTCGTCCAGGGGGCTACTAAGGCGGGCCCGCTTGTCGACAGGAGTGGCAGGAGAGGCAGGAGTAGCAATGTCCACAACTTCAACTGGCGCTGCAACAGAAGGCGCCCCGCCTAGCACTCCACGCACTGGGGTGCCTGGCTGCCGCGTGCTCGCCGGCATGGCAGGCGTCGGTCTCTGGGGATCGGTAAGAGTGGACCCGAATAGGAGTGGGCAAAGGTGGGGTTGGGCAGAAAATCGACTTGAGAAAATCGACTTGAGCCACGCTCTAAGCAACTTGGTAGAGGAAGCTCTCGTTACCAAGCTTGTCGTATATCGAATTTGTTGATGCTAGGCACTGGCATGCTCTCCTGCCTCTTCCCCGCCGCCGTTCTGGTTCCTGCAGTGGCCTCTGACCGCGTCGGGAGGGGGGCCCTTTGGCTTACTCGCGCGCTTGCGACGGAAAAGAAGCCCCGCTTCAAAATTGGTAGCGGAGCTTCGGTGAAGCGGGTCGATCCACGGGTCTGCGGAGTGCTGCGCTTGGAGGTCAGGGCAGCAGGCCCACAGCGGTGCCGTGCGGAACGCGAGGGACGCGGCAGCACACACACGGCGGCGCTGTGCAGAGCGACGGCGACGCTCGGCGCGGATCGCCAACGAGCGGCCGTCCCCGCCCGAATGGCAGAAACAACCACGATGGGTAAGTGCCCCCGGCGGTTCAGGGGCGCAGTGGAACGGAGTCCCCGCGAAGACGCCACCCAGTACGATGGCGATACAAAACGGGCACAGGATGACAGCCCCCGCCCGTTTGGGGGCGCGGTCACGCGGAATGTCTGCGAGGCCGCCACGCAATGGGAGAACCAGGCGCAGACAAAGGTTCCCGCGGAATCTAGCATGGAGACAGATGCCCAGCCAGACGCGCTGGAAGAGCCAGCCGCCCACGGCACTGGTGGTCCTGCGATCGGTGACAGCAGTTTCACGACCACTGGTTCTCCGGCCTCGCCGAACCCAGCGGCCGAGCAGCCTGCATGGTGGCAGATGCTGCAGACACTCCAGGCGTGCAGCGTTGAAGTCTCGGCCGACAGATCCGCCGATGCTCACGGATGGCACGTCCGCGCCTGGGGAGGACAGGGGGCGCCCCGCTGGACTCGCGCCGTTGGAGCCAGCGCCAGGAGTGCCGCGGCGCGCAGGGCGGGCCCGGCGTTCCGTGGCCCATTGGCCAGACCGCCCGCTGGGGTGGTTGTGGAGTTGCAGGAGTGGTTAGACAGGCCTTCCCTTCTCGCGATGTTGCGTCCAGGATGGCCCGGAGGTGGAAGCCTCAGGGGGGGGGGGCTCGCTAGGCCCAAGGCCGAGGGCCGTTGGTGCGTCGGGGGGCGCGAAGATGCCGATGCCCACGAAGTCAGGATATATGCCCCAACTCCACAGATGCAGGCCCTCATGCTCTTTATTGCCGCTTCGCATCTGCCAATCGGACCCCTTCAAAAGGCCTCGGGGGCGCGTCTTCGTCGAGCCCTGTGAAGGGCTGAACTTGCCCTCTGGAAGCCTCGCCGAACTCATCGCGCCAGTGCGCGGCCTCGACGATGCGCCCTTCGCCCTGCATCAGACAACTGTTCGGTTCTTCGAGAGTATCGGCTATGCAAAGACCAATTTAGAGCCTTGTTGGATGGTCCAGAGGGGTTCCGGCACAGGCCCAGACGCCATGATGCTGAAAGAGGTCGACGACTGGGCCATATCCAGCGCCCCTGGCTTGCAAAAGGGACAGTTAAAACAGTATCGGAGGAGGTTCACGTTCGGCAAGTTGCCAACACTAGACGGGACAGGAATGAATTATATCAAGAGGAGGATACGGAGGTTGCACGATCGGGTGTTGGTTGACCAGGACATATACATATATAGTTATATATATATATATAGGGGCATATCAAACGTCTGCATATTCTACGGGGCCAGTGAGCAAAACACGAAATGCCGCTGAACAGTTTCCCGATGAAAGAATTACGGTTGCTGATATATCGACTGTATTGGGTGGGTCGCGAGACCCGTCAAGAAGCAAGCGGGGCAGCTTCTCTCTTAGCTGGCAAATTGAATTGTCCGATCGTGGGCCGCTCTCGAAGCCAACAAAATGGTCGACTATCTCCGGGTTTCCGCGAGTCTGCCAATCGCGATCTGGAAACACCACCCCGGAACATGTATTTTTGCGACAGCATCCGACCGTGGGGGCGTGGGTTCCAAGAGCGGGTGCCGACCACAACAAGCTAGGCAAGCATGCGTGGCCGACGACAGCATAGCTTCTGGAAGTCGAGCCCGCGTTCCTCCTCTCTCGTGGCGGTCTGGCAAGTTGCGGAGGCAAGTCCTGTCCACGCTAGCTGGCGAGGTGCAGGCTCTGAGCGCCTTTTTAGCGGAGGCAGAATGGCTCCAAATCCTGTGCTAAGATGTGGTGTATGGGACCTTCCTCGATGGATGTTGGCATGACACGGCCGTTGCCCTTCGCTCTTCTCCTCCGCCGAACCTGTGCGCTGAGCGCTCGGCCCAGTGGGAATCTGGCCGTGGTCGATGCCACGGGAATTTTCGACGCTCTGGACAAAGACCGGGGGAACCAACAACGATTGGAAAGTGGCGGTGTATTTGGTCATATGCCGCGAAAGTCTGTGTGACTGGGGGGAACAGTTCGCTGGCTGCTCCATCCGTTTATGCCAGTGGGCGTGATGGCCAAGGCAGACGTCAGCAAGTGAAACGCTGCCCAGTTACAGCTCCTCAAGACGGGCACGATGATTGCCGAGGAGGACTCTCTCTCTCAGCGCCGACAGGACCCCTCCGCTCATGCGAGGTCTCGAGCGGCGTCTTCTCGACAACTCGTCGTCGTCGTTGTCGTCGTGTCTCGACCGAAGGGAGGGGGGCGGCGAGGGCTGATTTTTCTCATGTTTCACAGCTTCTGGCTTGTGCCTCGAGCGAGGCGGCACCGTCATTTCGCATTCTGCAGAGCACGGTGAGCAGTGCAGAAGTTTCAAGCTCACGATTGCTGGGCCGGCTGAGGGAGCCCCCAGCCTGAACTTGAACTCAACTCTTGAGGGGGCTTTTGGAGGGCTTCTCTCTGTTATGTCTATAGACATTTATGTATATACATAGGTGTGTGTGCCGTTCCGTTTCGCCGTTTCGCTCAGGTGCGCCTTTTGTTTTGCATTTGCGAGCTCCTTCGGTCAAAAGGTCCATCATCCGCTCGACAGATGTTGGCGTGCCACTCCTGCGCTGCATTGCGTAGCAATGCAACGTGCCCTGCAGCTTCTCGCACACCGTCTCCTCGATGGCGACCCAGCCCGAGCCGTTGAAGATCCAGACTGTGAACTTGTGGTTCTTCGCCTTCTTACTGCCGTCGCGGTTTGAAGCGCTTCAGCCGCCCGCTTGGCTGATTGCTCCGCCAGGCTGGTGCAGATCTCGATGCATCGCTTCTTCTGCTCATCGCTGGCACCGGAAGGTGCTCCACCTGCCTTGAGCCGTTTTTGTTCAGGTTATGATGGTTCTGCCTCGTCGTCTTGACATCCTGCTGCGTCGCCACCGTCACCCCCAGTTGTATGGCCAGGAGTCCCAGGCGGAGAAGCCATCTGCACGTCATCCTTCGCATTGCCCATGGCCTTGCCGAGCTGGGCGAACAGAAGCTGGTACTCTAGCGGTGACACGCGATTGTCGTCGACCGCCTTTCCGCATTGTTTGTGCATGGCTGCGAGGAATCCAGAAGACGCATCTCCAACACTTTGCACCTGGAGCTCCTGCTCTCGCGCACGTGCAGCCTTCGCCTGTTCCTCTTTCTGTGCCAATCGCTCACGAGGTTTCGCCAATTGCTTCTTCTTGTGCCGCTGCACCTCCTCCTGGGGGCCTGCCACTTCCTTCTCTGCTTTTTCTCTTGCGGTGCTCGCCTGGGTGAGCTGAAGACCGTGTGTTTTTTCACTGTCCGTCTCGTCCCGCGCACGCTGATACTTCTTCTGATCGGATTGGTACTCCGTCGAGGATTCCTCCCATTCTGCCTTGCAGGCCTGGGCCCACTTGCACAGTTTGGTAAGATCCGCCTTTCCGCCAGGCCGCTTTCCGTGTCGCGGTTGTGCTCATTTTCGATGGAGAGGAGTTCGTCGCGCTTGGCGTCCAACTTCTTGTGCATGGTAACTTCACGCTTGGATGGGGCCCAGCAGCATCTGCTTGAAAGTGGCTGCCTGTCTGGAGGCCTGTGCTCCATATCCTCGACACTTCCTCCTCGACGCGTACCTGTCACCGACTCCGCACGAGCACGGCTACAGGTCGTTGCCTTGCTTCCGCTGTCCTGCCACCCCGCCGCGGGCGCCATGGCTCGACAACACTCGCGCGTGGGTGACCCCAACGCGGGGCAGCAAGCTGCTCTGACTGCCGCGGAGTAGCGGTGCCCCTTCGTCCACAGGCGCGGCGGCCCCCGGAGGTTGAGATATTGAGCCAACATGGTTCCAGGAAAACTCCAAGAGGTCCCCCGAGAGAGCCCCAAGAGGCGCAAAACGTTGAGTTTCATTGTTTTTTGCGTTGTCGAGTTTCCAACGCTCCAAGAAAGTCGAAGAGACCCCCAAGACCCCCCAAGACAGCCAAGAAGGCTTCCAAGAGAGCGCCAAGGCAGCCCAAGAACACTTAGAGACTGCCCAGGAGCCGCCCAAGACGGCCCCAAGACGCCCCAGCACAAGCCCAAGATGGGTCCAAAAGGGAGCACACAAGGCCCCAAGAAGCTCCCGAGACGCCCCCAGGATCCGAGGCTCCCAGCAACCCGCATACGCCTGGGAGACCCAAAAAGGAGCTCCCAGAGCTTCCAAAAACAGCCCCCACAAGGCTTTCAAGCTGCCTCCTCAGAGCCACCTACAAGTCTCCAAACTGCCTTCCCGAAGAGCCCCACGAAACCACAATCGTTGATTGTTGTTAGGGATTTAACAACGAAAAGCGGTCCGCCCACCTCTGTGACATCGGGCCCCCTTTTTTGATGCCCCCTCCCCAGCGCCCCCAAGAGGCCTCAAGACGGCCCCAGGGGGCCCCTAAGATGGTCCAAGAGGGCCCCAAGACGGCCAAACATCGATCTAAGACGCCCAAGATGGTCCCAAGACGGCCCAAGAGGCCGCCAAGACGCCCCCAAAGGCCTCCAAGAGGCCTCAGATTGCAGAACATCACCTTCCGACTGCCAGGAGAATCCCGACGATGCCTTCAAGGGACCCCAAGAAACCCCAAGACTCCCCCCCAAGAAACATCAAAGAGGTGCCTCCGACAGTTAATTGAGGAAGCACGGAGAACCCCCCAGAAGCCCTTCAGATGCCCCCGCGAAGACCCAGGAGATTCCCGGGAGGCCCTCAGGAGGCACGATAATGTCACGCGCCTGTGCGTCATGGCGCTGTCCAAGATCTTCCAGCGCCCTCCCAGCCTGGGTCAGAACCTGAGCGCGCGCGACGCGCGAGCGATGATTCTGGTTTGTGTGTGTGTGTGTACATCTTTGCCGTTTCCACAACGGACGAGGGACAACGAATCCCAAGCGCCGAAGCTTAAGCCAGGGCGGCTACGAAGACCGTCGCACGAACTCCTGGGCCCCCGTCCAGGAGAGGGGGGCGGAGGAGGAGGAGTGGGCTCCGTGGGTGCCAACATTTGCCTGCCCTGGCCGGTGTAACTCGTGCCTTGTCGGATTGCCGGGGAGGCCACGGTCTCCGAGGTGGCCCATGCCCCACGAAGCACTTGACGGCGGTCGCCGGTCGGGGCTGCCGGCAAATCGGTGCGAGCTGTCAACGACGCGAGGAGTGGGAGCTCCCAGCGAGTGATCAACAAAAAAACATTTGAGCACAATCCCGCCGCAGGCGCCCTCTTTTCGGGGTGGCGTTTCTGCGCAGCCACGACCGGCGCCACCAGTGTGCACCCCGACGCCGCGTGCCCCCCCTCCCCGCGGAACACCGAAGCAGGTTTCACGAAGCATTCAGTGAAGAAGCCTGCCGCATGCACATATTTCTTTTTAATTTTCAGCGTTGCTGCATTTCTCGGGGGCGGCAAAGAGGGGGGTGATGACTAGGGCGGGGTGGATATTATGGCGTGGCCATGATATTTCCCCAGATCTCATGGCGCCTCTTCTTATTTCATTCTGTCACTGGCCCCCCCCTTGGGCTGAGCACATGCAACGCCATGATTTGCACCCCCCCCTCTTGGACGCCCCCCTCTTGGCCGCCCCCGAATTTCTGCGCAGCCAAGACAGGGGCCTCTCCCGCAGCCAAGACAGGGGCCTCTCCCCCGGGCCCCGCGGCGACGGGCCCACACGACGCCGCGGGCTACCCTTTCAACTTGATCCAGCTTTTCGGCTCGCCCTGCACTGCAGTCTCCAACGTCGACTCCTGTCCTATCTACTGAACTCGTCTCTCTTCTTTCTGCTCTGTACTATCTGCTCTCCCTCCGATGCACTCTCTCCTCATGCACATGGCCACAGCCAGAATCCCGAGAACTCAGAAACTGATTATGCCTTGAGCCGCCGCCGCCGACTCTTGAGCCTTCGAGAGGGCCCCGCAGTTCAAGCATCCAGTGGGGGAAAGCTTCAGGGAGGGCCGCCGCTGTCGGGCGACGCGGGCTCTGCCGCGCGGTTCGGGAGCCCGAAACCGCCAACTTCGCATCGGGGTCGTCGTCGTCGTCGTCGTCGTCGTCGTCGTCGTCGTCGTCTTTCTCGTCGTTGTCGTCGTCGGCCTCGTCGTCGTCCTCGTCAACATCGTCGTCGTCCTCGTCGTCCTCGTCCTCGTCCTCGTCGTCCTCGCCGTCCCCGCCCGGGCCGCGGGCCGCCTCCTGCCCGCGCAGTGCCCGCCGCCCGGGCCTGCGCGCGTCTGGCGTGCCTCGCCGCGTCCTGCCCGGTCGGGGCTCGGGAGCCGGCCGGGGGTCAGTGCAAGCAGGGGTCGGTCAGGCAGCCATCTGCACGAACGAAATGGGTACGGAAAGAATGGGTACTCCAGATTTCGTAATAAAGGGAGGGGGGTCTCATTTCGGGGGGGGGGTCTCTTCCAGGCTATCTTGGAGGGCCTGGGGGGTCTGGGGACGATGTTTTGGGAGGGTTCTCCCACGGGGGAGGTCTGAAATGGCTTGTCTTGGAGGGCCCAGACCCTCTCCCTTTTACTACGAAATCTGGAGTACACTGCCCAACAGCGGATCTTGTTCATTTTGAACAGGACTCGCTGTCCACGCCGACGCGGCCTGTGTCCCTTCGAGGCAGAGGGCTGCCTGCCCAACAGCGGCCGCTGTTGGTTGGGAGCAACATTTGTTGTTGGGCATTGTACCCAGTCTTTCCGTAGGCTTTTCGTCCTGGCGTGCCTATAGGTCTACCAAGCAGTGTTCTAAGAACCTCTTGTGGTCTGCACAAAGTTCTCTCAGAACATTACTTGCTGGGGCTGTCTTGGTTTGACACATCTTGCTTATGTTCTAAGAGCCGTTGTTTGTTCTCGGAACGTTTTTGGGTTTTAAGAACATGTTTGGGCCAGGATGGAAGCATGGGCGGCACAACCACAACTACTTGACGGTCGTTGAAAGTAGGTACCTTGGGATGCCCAGATCCCAATTTTTTTCAGGCGCCTTCCCTTTACAATGCTCGATGTGCTTTTGTTGTGTTCTGTTATTCTCTGGGAGGACCTGAACCCAGTCTACTTTATCCGCCGTCCTACTCCTTGTTTCTACCCACTTTTTCCGACCGATGGGTAATCCTAGATTTCGAAGTCCTCCCAGCCGGTGCCGGTGCCGCTGACCCTGAATGGGGACGACGACGACGACGGCGATGACGACGACGCTCGCGAACGCTCGTGTGGGCCATGGCGGGTCCTTTTGGACACAAAGAGACGTCAATTTCCATGAACACGAAGGGAAAGTGAGAAACGGGGGGGGAGCCGCATTTCCGGGAATTGGAAAACACATGAGAAATCCAATAATGTGTATCGATTCGTTTGTGTCTGAATGGGGCCCCAGAGATGGAGGCAGGTATGGGCTTACAGTCAAGGCGCTGAAGTTAGATCCACGGTGGGCTCAGGAGAGTCTAAACAAGAAAAGACGCCATGACAAACATTTTCAGAGGTCCGCGCGGATCTTTTCGATTGGCTCTGGGCCCCGCTTTGTGGCGTGGTGCGCGCCAGGGGCGGCGCTGGAGGCGCATTGTTTTGCTCCTCCAGTACGGGGCCCAACGGTATACACCACCACCACCTCCCTCATCCCCTCCCTCTCCCAGGAAAGAGGAGAGGAAGATGAGGGTGGAGAAGGGGGGAGGAATCGGCGTGGTGGTGGTGGTGGTGTGTATATTCTTAGGGCCCGCATCTAGACGAGGCCATGGCATTCGGAGCCTTTCCTCAGATCCAGGTCGGGGAACCTGTTCGTGGCCGAGGCTTGCTGTGGCCAGAAGAGCCCCTCGCTCCTTCATCGGCGATCCTTGGTGGTAGCACGCTGGCTGTGCAGAGGACGGGGGACCACCTTCTTGAGGCCCACCTTCTGGGCTCCAGTGGAGCAGACGCGATGCCGTGGAGGAGCAGGGACCTGCCAGCTGCAGGAGGACGCCCGGAGAGGGGGCGGAGGCAGCACGATCTCCGGCCTCGAGGGCGACAGGGACAGCCTGGAAGGCCGCGTCACTGCCTCCAAGGCCGAGGCCAGGAGGCTGACCGACCGGGTCCCAGGGGGGCGAGGCTCGGGCGGACGGCGGCGTGGAGGCGACGAGCGCGGGGAGGGTCGAGGACTGCCAGCATCCGAAGCGGGGGTCTTATCGGGATCCTCCTCCTCCTCATCCAAATTCTCCTCCTCCTCCTCCTCCTCATTCAAATCCTCCTCCTCACCTCCTCTTCCTCGCCTCCTCCTCCTCCTCCTCATCCAAGTCCTCCTCCTCATCCAAATCCTCCTCCTCCTCCCCCTCCCCATCCAAATCCTCCTCCTCCTCCTCCTCCTCCTCCTCACCTCCTCCGCCGCCTCCTGATGGTACGCACCGCCTTGGGGATCGGTCTTCGGGGACCTCGGCAGGCGGCGGACATGGATAACTTCGGGCCCCCCGGGGCCACACTGTCCAGCGCCCGCGGGGGTCCGGGGACGTTGGCTCCCGGGCGGTGGGCATGCAAAGCCCCGCCTCGCAGGGCAGATGGCCCGAAATGGGGGCCCCAAACGGCTCCCGAGTTGCCACCGCGGGCCCAAGAGGTGCACGAGAAGTGCACCTGTTCCCCCGCGTTCCGTCCCCCCCCTTTCACAAAAAGCCGGGAGGGCGGAGGAGATACGGGGGCAGATGGTTTGTACACAATGAGAATTGAGAGAGGAGAGTGAGGAGGAGGAGGAGGAGGTGGAGGAGGTTAGAGGAGAGTGAGGAGGAGGAGGAGGTGGAGGAGGTTAGAGGTGGAGGAGGTTAGAGGAGGAGGAGGATGAGGAGGAGGAGGAGGAGGTTGGAGGGGGAAGTGAGTGGGTTCGTGGGGGAGAACAGGAGGGTCCACAGTAAACCCAAGACGCATCAGCGATGCTGCAATACACCCTCTCGTCCCCATTCCTCGTCGAAGAAGTCCTGACAGGTCTTCCTTTTCACTACAAGATGTGTCCCCCCGCCCTGAGAGACCATCACCATTTTGGGCCTGTTGGCGAGGGCCCCGTTTTGAAAAGGAATCGTCTTTCATCCTTCGGGCGCGGAATTAGGGATACACGGACATTGTGATAATACAGCGAGGCGTCCAGTGATAGCCATGTGTGTCAGAAGGACCGCCACGCCATCCGTGTATTGTAATGGCCTCCGGCCAGTGCCGCCGCTCTGGGGGGCTCCGGATTCGGTGATCTTCGCGGCTCTGTGGCCTCCTCCTTCCTCGATTCTTCCGGTCCTCTTTCTTCTCTTTTTGGGGGTGCCTGGAGCGGTCCCGGGGGTGGGTCCGGGGAGGGTTCCGAGGGGAGGGTCCTGGGGGCGGTAGCGGCTAGATCTGATGAGGGTCCTGGGACCCCCTGGAACATTTTGTGGATATGCAAATCATTAAGAAAACGCCAGATAGGGGGACCGCCCCCCCCGCTTCCTGGAGGGGGTCTGGATGCGCAAATCAGGAAGGAAACGCCAGATGCGGGCCCCCCCCCCTCCCCTCCTTTTCCCGGCAGAGCCACCCCGGCGACCTCCCCCAAGCAGAGTTGAAGCTCTTAGTTAGGCTCAGAGCTGAAGCTCTTGCTGAGGCCCCTTGTAGTTCACACGCCAGGTCGGCGGATTTGTTGCACATGCGTATATTTGTGATGGGTGTCGAGCGGGTCCCAAGCGAAAGCTCCAGGTTGAAACGAAGCCGCCCTCGATCTGTGCATTTCTACATGTGTTGAAGTTTCGACTCTTTTGACATTGGGAACTATCATGGGAGGACATCATTTTAAAAGAGCCGTTCTCCATCTTTTGTTGTTGCGCTGCTCTACAACATTTTCCTTTGAACATGGCCCCCCCTCTATCCCTCCAGCTTTAGTAGTATGTTGATCCGGTTGTGCTCTGCGCCATTTCGACAACCCTCTTTGATGTACACACTGCGGGCTCCCATTGACCAGTGTATGGTAATGTGACAACGTGAAGCAAGATTGTGAGGGGGAGGGGGAGGGGGAGGGGCTGGGAGGAGGTCAACGAGCAGCAAGAGGAGGAGGAGGAGGTGGAGTGTGACGAGGAGGCGGGGGAAGAGGAGGGGGAGAGGGAGGAGGACCAGTGTAATGCCAAAACGCGTCACCGATTTGGACCAGTGTGTATGCAATCCCCGCTCAAAGTTCCGTCTTCGTAGTTCCCTAAACGAAATGGTGTTCATTGCGAGAAGTGCTTTTTGAGAGGACGACCGTCCGGGAATCTGTCAGTGTGCCAGAACAACTCCTTGGATTCCAGCGCCGCGAATCAACGTGACCGTTGCGTCCTGAAAATCCTGAACTGTGCCAAGGCACCGTTCATGGGGGGTGAGCCCCACGAGCCCTTGAAGCTGCTGCAAACTTGTAAGTCGAATGCGCGCGGCGCTAAGGCGAGAACCACGCTTGGGATTGGAGCCGTCCTCCATCTTTACAGCCATTGCAGACTTTGAAAATGAATCAGCGCAGCGCGAAGGTGAGGTCCACATTTTGGAGAGAACCCGCTCTTCATCCTCGAAACGGCTGCAGACTTTTAACGCGAACGTGCGCGGCGCTGACGAGAGAGTCACACTGTCGAAACTGTTGAAGGGTATGAGTTTTATAGAATCTTATATGATATGGAAGTCTCCGGCGAAACGCCTGGCTTGCCCTACCATCACGTGTGAGTGTGCGACAGGGGGGTAATTATCTGTTTGGAAACGGGATGCAGTGGACGAGGAAGCGGCACGAGTCGACGTCGGTCGTGTCCAGCACCGATGGGGGACGAGGAGTAGGGGGACGAGCGAGGCTCACTGCGGAACACGGCATGCGCGTACCGAGGGACCACTTGTGTACGCTCTGATTGCATGCCCGAGTGCAACCACCTGTGGCAACGCTGAAGCGGAGGTGCTGTTCTGTTGGACGGATGCTCATCAGTGATCGCGAGTTACGTCGAACGCATCATGCAGAGCACTGTCAGCGTTGGACAAAAGCATCACATCAGCACCCTGCCTGGAACTGGAAGTGGAGGAGGGGCGGGGCGGAGGATGAAAACGAGGACGGGGACCACCGCCCGAGCTCTCAGCCCTCGGTCTCGGGGGCCCTTTTTGTGGGGCGATGGGGAGGGAGGGTGGGTTGCGCTGCAACTCCGGGGGCCCGCGGGGCGACCCCCCCGTGCGGGGCTCGCCGCGCCCGCGGGGGCCCTCGATGGCGCGCGCCCGCGCGAAGGTGCGCCGCAGGCGGCTGCGCGCCGCGCCCCGCTTCCGCGCGCGCGCGGCGCCTCCGCGCGCCATGGGCCCGGCGCCGAGCAAGCCCTCGCGGCCGGAGTTCGAGGCTGCGCGTCGGTGGCTAGAGCTTGTTTTTGTTTTAGATGCAGGCAAAGTTCTCTGTCACGGCCCTCTCCCCCCCCTCGCCCCTCTTCAGTCGAGGACGAGCTTGCAAAGGACTCTCGACTTGCCTGCGTGAGTTCCGCACATCGAGTTTTTTCGGCTTGCTTCAGGCTCAGGCCCCCCCCCCTTCCATGCAAGTGAATTTGCCCTCGCGGTCGGACTTCGAGGCTGCGCGTCCGCGACGATTGTTCAGTCGGACATGTCCCTCTACAGGAGGAAGATTCAAACATAGAAACAAACATCGTCAGGGGACGAATTTTGGCTGTTTTTGGTTATGTTTACAGATTTATAATCGATATTTAATCGTTCGTTCAAAAGCCGCCAGTAGGAGGGCACGCCCGACCTGAGACGATCGGGGCTCAAGAGACGGGGGTCGATGCAAACGGGGGTCAACCAGAACGCTGGATCTTGCAGGATCCTGCAGGGCCAGAGTCGCCACTGACCCGGGCTGGGGTGCAGGATCCCGCAGGATTTTGCAGAGCCCTTCGCGTTGACCCCGGCTTGGGTGCAGGATCTTGCAGGATTTTGCAAAGCCTGACCGACCCAGGTTTGCATTGACCCGGGTCGGTGAGACCCCGATCAGCGACTACAGTGACTACAACCCCGAACATGTGCACGTGGTGGCAAAAATCACCGCGTCGCAGGCCTAGAGGTTGAAACTAACACGAATATCGGTGGTGTGCCTCCACCGAGGGAAGAAGATCCCGATCTCGGCGATGGTGGTAATAATTCTGACCTTAAGGTGGCCGAAATATTACCACCACCACCACCGACATCTGGGATCATCTTCACCCTGTGGAGGGACCCCCCTGCGTTGGTGTTGGTGATGCGTCCAGGACTCCAGCGGCAGGAGGCCTCTGGCCGTTCTCTGCCCCGGGGGGCCCCTCGTCGGCCCCGGGGGGCCGTCGAAGAACGGCTTGGGCAGGAGCAAAAAGTCAGTCCGGGCTGGCCGGGCCTCCCGGGGGGGGTCCAGGTAGATACGGGGTCGGAGGATCGTGCCGCATCGCCGGTGCATCGTCGATGCGGCTCGATGAGGAGCCCGAGTTTCCCCGCGCCGACGTCGCCCGTGCATTGGTGATGCATCGGCGATGCGGCGCAACCCTCCGACCCCATCCTTTCCGACCCCACTTGGGAGGCCTCTACAGAGAGGGCACACTTACTTTGGACTCCCCTGACTTCGGGTCCGCCGTACTTTGGTGCTGCTGATTCTGTTGTTATTGTTGCTGTTGTGTTTGTTGGTACTGTTTTTGTTTTGTTGTTGCGATTGTTTTTGCTGTTGTTGCTGTTGTTGGTGTTGTTATTGTTGTTGGTGTTGTTGTGATTGTTGTGGTTGTTGTGGTTGTTGTTGTTGTTGTTGTTGTTGTTGTTGTTGTTGTTGTTGTTTGTGCTGTTGAACTCTCGTTATTGAAGAAAAAATATTGTTGATCCCCCCTCCGGTGCACATTGTATTTTTTCAAGTGGAGTGGCCCTCCTGGCGTTCGCACCCTGTTTTTAAAAAAGGAAAGTCTTCGTTCTCAAGTTGTGTTGTTAGTCCCCGGGTTACAACAACAACAACGGCTCCCACCTGAGACTTCCTCACAACTTAGCTAGGACCCCCGCTCCCGCCTGAGACTACCTCGCGTTTTATTCGGGAATCGCGCTCTCGCTTGGGACTTCCTCACAATTTATTCAGGAATCGCTCTCTCGGCGCTCTGGAATCGCGCTCTCGCTGGAGACTTGCTTGCAATTTACTCAAGAATAGCGCCCTTGCATGGGAAATTCCTGCAATTTACTCAAGCGCCGCGCTCCCGACACTCAGGCACCCAGGAGTCGCGCTCACGCTTAGGACTCCCTCACAGAAAGCTTAGGAATCGGGATCTCGCTGCCCTTCGTGGCCCCGTTGCAGCCCTTCGTGGCCATCTCGCTGCCCTTCGTGGACGCGTTGCAGCCCTTCGTGGCCCCCTCGCTGCCCTTCGTAGCCCCGTTGCAGCCCTTCGTGGCCCCTTCGTGGCCCCGTTGCAGCCCTTCGTGGCCCCCTCGCTGCCCTTCGTGGCCCCGTTGCAGCCCTTCGTGGCCCCCTCGCTGCCCTTCGTGGCCCCGTTGCTGCCCGTCGTGGCCCCTTGCTGCCGTTCGTGGCCCCATATATGTATGCCCTTCGTGGCCTCCGCTCGTTCGCGCCCGTCGTGGCCCCATATGCATGCCCATCGTGGCCCCGCTGTCGCCCTTCGTGGCTCCGTCGCTGACCTTCGTGGCCCCGTTGCTGCCCTCAATGGCCTCGTCCTTGCCCTCTGCGGCCCAATATACGTATGCCCTTCGTGGCCTCCTCTCGATCGCGCCCGTCGTGGCCCCATGTGCATGCCCTTCGTGGCCCCGCTGTCGCCCTTTGTGGCCCCCTCGCTGTCCTACGTGGCCCCGTTGCTACCCTCAGTGGCCCCGTCGTTGCCTGCTGTGGCCCCGCATTCTCTGCCCTTCGTGGCCCCCGCTCGTTCGCGCTCTTCGTGTCCCCATACGCATTTCCTTCGTGTCCCCGCTGTCGCCATTCGTGGCCTACTTCGTGCCCTTCGTGGCCTTACTGTCGTTCTCTCTCTTGCTCTCGGTTTCGCTCGTCGTCGTCGTCGTCGTCGTCGCCGTCGTCGTCGTCGTCGTCGCCGTCGTCGTCGTCGTCGTCGTCGTCGTCGTCGTCGTCGTCGTCGACGTCGTCGTCGTCGTCGTCGTGGTCGGTCCCCTGCCCGTCCCTCTTGGGGTCGGGCTGCCGCCGATTAGCACTGCCGCTGGCCAGGCTGACGGTCCGCGACCGCCCCGCCGCTTGCCGGGGCCCGTCCTGCAGGGAAGAAAGGTATACCCCCCAAAAGGGGTACGATCGAAGACGAAGAGGGCGGGTATCGAGAGTTTGGGAAATACGCGTTAACGGACACTCGAGCAGATACAAGCGAACAGTCTTAAAATGATTGTTGTGGTTGTTGTTGTTGTTGTTGCTGTTGCTGTTGCTGTTGCTGTTGTTGTTGGTGTCGTTGTTGTTGTTGTTGTTGTCGTTGTTGTTGTTGTTGTTGTAGTAGTCGTTGTTGTTGCTGTATGTGTTGTAGTTGTTGTTGTTATTGTTGTTGTGTTTGTTGTTGTTGTTATTACTGTTGTTTTTGTTGTTGTCGTCGTCTGATTTTCCTGCTTGAAGTTCGTTCCCAGACAGAGTTCGGAGGCCCCGGACAAATTGCAGCGGTCGGTTCGGCGACTCAAGATTCGTTCCCAGAGATCAGAGTGTCCGACAAAGATTGGAGCGGCTGGTTTGGGATCATTTTCTGGACCCAGGGGCCCTCAACGGCCCCCCCGGACCATCAAGAAACGAATGGAGCTGAAGAGCGGGCCATAGGGAAGTTGTCCAGAATCCGCGGGCCCATGCATCGAGAGGACAGCTTTGCGTTCGACCCCCTGCTCGCTGCCCTGCTCGCGAGCATTGATGACTGCCCTTCTCGCGAGCACTCCGAGCCACGACGTCTGCGCTTTTCCGCAGCGTGCAGGGGACGAGCGCCTGGCCAGCAAGTGCATCGGTTGAGGACGAGCATGAGTTCAGAGGGCGTGCAGCGTGTGGCTGGTGCTCAGAGCTTTCGAAGCCCGCGGCTGGGCGTGAGCCTTAGCCCTGGTAGGGGGTCCTCACTTCGGATCCGCCGTAGTCTGGCCGACAATCGGCAGGTGGAAACAATTAGGGAGCGCCCCCCTGCCCCCGAAGTTCAAAGTTGGCGCGTCAGGGGACGACCGCGGCGAAGTGCAAATCAGATCCCCCGACAACATTCATCGTGGGGGAGGGGGATATCATGTGATACGAGTGTTCGCTCTTTGTTTCCGACGCCCGTGGCTGTGCCGCCTGTCACGAGGCTTTTGCCCCTCGAATTTCCATGCCAGTTATCATGCAGGCGCGTTCGGTTCCTAGCAGTCTTGGAGCGCGCGTGGCATCATCATAACCGTCATAACGGTTTCGCAGAAGCCAGGCATGATATGGCAGGCGAGGACATTTGCTTAGGCAGCGCCCCCCTCTCAACTGAAGTTCTACATTGGCGCGTTGGGGCTCGACCGCGGGCGAACTGCAACGAATCAAGTGGGGAGAGGGGATAAGATGTGGCACGAATGCTCGCTATCGAAGACGCCTACGGCGAATCACCGCCGCCCCCTGCCTTTTTGGAAGCGCCTATGTGGCCGAACGTTGAGGCCAGACCTGCCAAGCTATCGGACCACGTGTTCCCCGAATCGGTTTGGAAAGCCTTCGGGGAACACGTGGGCATCTTGAAGGTCATCTTGGCCGTCTTGGAGGCCTCTTGGGCAAGCTTTGGGCGATCTTTGGGGCTTTTTGGGCCGTCTCGGGCCAGCTTCGAGCCAACTTCGGCCATCTTGGTGGGTTCCTGGCACGTCTGAAGCCGTCGGAAGCCGTTTGGGGGGCCTCTATGGGCCGACTTGGGGCCCGCTTGGAATGCTCCAGGGCCGTCTTGGAGGCCATCTTGGGCGTCTTGGAGGCCATCTTGGGCGTGTTGGAGGCCTCTTGGGCCCTCTTGGGGCCCTCTAGGGGCCATCTTGGAGGCCACTTGGGCCATCATGGGGCTCTCTTGGGGGCCTCTTGGGCGATCTTGGGGGCTTCTTGGGCCGTCTTGAGCCGTCGGAGAGCCGAAAAGGCGCAAATGCCAAAATCCTTGAAAAACCAAGGGAAAATCAATGATTTTGGCCTCTTCGGACTCTCCTGGAGGACCTCTTGGAGGCCTCTTGGGCCGTCTGGGAGGCCTCTGGGGGGCCTCTTGGGCCGTCTTGGGCCGTCTTGGACTCTCTTGGGCCGTTTTGGAGGCCGTCTTGGACCATCTCGGGCGGACTTGGAGGCCATCTTGGGCCATCTTCGCGATTTTTTGAGGATGTCCCGAGCGAAACGGCCGTTTTTGGGCATTGACAGATGGCATTTTGGGAAATTCGCGGGTGGCCGGCGGGACGGGCCGAAGCCCACTGGGGAGTTCTTTTAGAAAAAGAACCAAAACCAAAACCTGAATCATCCAGCACGCCGTGCACCCCTGCAAGCAGGGGGCGGCGGATCGAAGACGCCTACGGCGAATCACCGCCGCCCCCTGCCTTTTTGGAAGCGCCTATGTGGCCGAACGTTGAGGCCAGACCTGCCAAGCTATCGGACCACGTGTTCCCCGAATCGGTTTGGAAAGCCTTCGGGGAACACGTGGGCATCTTGAAGGTCATCTTGGCCGTCTTGGAGGCCTCTTGGGCAAGCTTTGGGCGATCTTTGGGGCTTTTTGGGCCGTCTCGGGCCAGCTTCGAGCCAACTTCGGCCATCTTGGTGGGTTCCTGGCACGTCTGAAGCCGTCGGAAGCCGTTTGGGGGGCCTCTATGGGCCGACTTGGGGCCCGCTTGGAATGCTCCAGGGCCGTCTTGGAGGCCATCTTGGGCGTCTGGGAGGCCATCTTGGGCGTGTTGGAGGCCTCTTGGGCCCTCTTGGGGCCCTCTAGGGGCCATCTTGGAGGCCACTTGGGCCATCATGGGGCTCTCTTGGGGGCCTCTTGGGCGATCTTGGGGGCTTCTTGGGCCGTCTTGAGCCGTCGGAGAGCCGAAAAGGCGCAAATGCCAAAATCCTTCAAAAACCAAGGGAAAATCAATGATTTTGGCCTCTTCGGACTCTCCTGGAGGACCTCTTGGAGGCCTCTTGGGCCGTCTGGGAGGCCTCTGGGGGGCCTCTTGGGCCGTCTTGGGCCGTCTTGGACTCTCTTGGGCCGTTTTGGAGGCCGTCTTGGACCATCTCGGGCGGACTTGGAGGCCATCTTGGGCCATCTTCGCGATTTTTTGAGGATGTCCCGAGCGAAACGGCCGTTTTTGGGCATTGACAGATGGGTTTTATGAGATTTACGGGTGGCCGGCGGGACGGGCCGAAGCCCGCTGGGGAGTTCTTTTAGCAAAAGAACCAAAACCAAAACCTGAATCATCCAGCACGCCGTGCACCCCTGCAAGCAGGGGGCGGCGGATCTAGGGGCCCTCGGCCCATCCCGCCACCGTGCCTGGGTTGTCGATCAGAGGCCCCTTGGATGCTTGTGAGCATCTTGGGAGCATCCTCTTGGGGGCACCTCAGTGGCCTCTGGGGGGACACTCGGGCCACCTCGGGACGACGGGCTCAACACGACAGGTGGTGTTCCCCCTCTTGGGCCCCTCTTTGAGGTGTCTTTGGGGCTTCTTGGGCCCTTCTCGGGGTCTCGTTGGCGGTTTTGGACGGTCTTGGGCGCCTCATGTGCCATGTTCGACTCCCTGAAGACGATACATGCGGTAGTGCTGAAAGCATGCTCAAGCCATGACGGATGGCGTGGCTCAGAAGCCGGGCGACGGCTGGCAAACCCGTGGCTGCTGAAACGGAGCGGAGCTCCGGGATGTTTTTTTTCTCCTTCCGGGAAGCAGCCCGTGTGTTATTTGGTGCGTGGAGCTTGATTCCAGGAAGTTGTTTGAAGACCGTTTTAGCAGCCACGGATTTGCCAGCCCTCGCCAAGCTTCCAAGTGGCGCGGCCGTCAGCCAAGAAAGACACCCTTAGGGGGCCAGATGCGAACCCTACCCCCCCACGATTTCTGAGGGGGAGGGTGGGGTTCACTTCGTTTGGGAGCTCCCGAGCGACGTGAACCCCACCCTCCCCCTCAGAAATCGTGGGGGGTAGGGGTAGGGCCGGGTAGGGTTCGCATCTGGCCCCCTAACCCTCCCGGCGGTCGCGTCCGCCAGCGGCCCGGGGAGGCGCTGCTGGGCCAGCTGGAGGAGGGCTGCCGAGACGCCGCGGAGGTGACGGGGAGCCCCCGGGCGGGGAGGGGCGCGCGCTTCGGCCGGGGCGCCCCTCCTCCTCCTCCTCCTCCTTTTCCTCCTCCTCCTCCTTTTCATCCTCCTCCTCCTTCTCCTCCTCCTTTTCATCCTCCTCCTCCTCCTCCTCCTCCTCCTCCTCCTCCTCCTCCTCCCCCCTCCTCCTCCTCCTCCTCCTCCTCCTCCTCCTCTCCTCCTCCTCCTCCTCCTCCTCCTCCTCCTCCCTCCTCCTCCTCCCCTCCTCCTCCTCCTCCTCCTCCTCCTCCTCCTCCTCCTCCTCCTCCTCCTCCTCCTCCTCCTCCTCCCCCTCCTCCCCCTCCTCCTCCCCCTGAGGGGCCAGTGAACGGCAGGAGGGCGCGCGGCGAGGGCAGAGGATCAAGGCCGGGAGGGTCGCGGTTCTGCGCGCTTCTGGACATCGGGCTCCTCGCCGCCCCCGCCCAGGGCTCCCGCGGCGCTCGCCAGGGGAGGCGCGCGGCGGGTGCCGAGAATCGCGGCCAAGGCCCCCGACGATGTGATGTGTCCAGCTTTTGCGGTTTTGTTCCTATGGTTCGTCCCTCTGGGGGTCTGCCCCCCCGGGGCCAACACACAAGTGCTTCACGCTTCGCGTGTCCCCACTGGCCCATTTAGAGACCCTGCCCATGAGAGCTGACAGGAACAGGGACGAAGAGACACGTGTGGTGAAACAAAGCGGGCAACCAGGGTGAACAGAGAGATTTCTGGGAGCAAGGGGGTTGCCTTCGAGCGCCCCTTCGGGCCCAGGCTGGCTTCAGGACAGGACGAGGAGGAGGAGGAGGAGGAGGAGGAATACGATGACGACCATGAGGAAGAAGAGGAGGAAAACAACGAGCACAAGGACGAGGACGAGAACGAGGAGTATGACAATGAGGACGAGTGCCGAGCCCTCGAAATCCCAGAGTTTCCTTGAAGCTCTTTCGGGGGATCTTGGAGTCCTCCTGTGGCTCCCGTGGCAGCTCATGGGCTCTCTCGGGGCCCTCTTGGAGCCATCTTGGGAGGCCCACCTCGGGAGCCGTGAAGGGCGGCCTCTTGGGGCCCTCTTGGAGGCCATCGATCACGAGGGGGGCGCGGCAACGTGCCTGCCCTCCCGCGATCGTCCAGCTTGCCCCTCGGGGCCCTCTTGGGGCACCCTGTGGCTGCTCTTGGGCGCTCTCGGGGCCGTCCGGGGGGCCTCTTTTCAGGCGATCGCAGACACGGATCAAGGGGGCGTGGATCAGCGACGGGTCCCGCTTCCGTGGGGAATCGCGGATTCCCGCCGCCGTGCGAGGCGGCACTGGCCGCATTTTGGGGAGGGCACCTCCCCCGATCCATTGATCTGGCGATCGCGCGCCAAGTCCACGGATCGCTAATCCATGTTTGCGCGCCCCCGACTCTTGGGCCCAATCTTGAGGCCTCACAAGCGCCTCGAAAGCGACAGGGCGAGAAGGCAACAGTCGTTGATGCTCCTCAGTGTGTGGACGGATTCGGGCCTCTTGGGGGGTCTTGGGGTTCCGAGAGCACTTAGAACTGTCATTGTGGCACTCGTCGGGCCTCTAGGAGGTACCGCGGAAGCTGATTATCTTGAACCATCGTCGGTTATCTTGAGCCATCTTGGAAACTATCTTGGAGCATCGGAGGCCCTCTTGAAGCCGACTTGGTCCATTTTGAATGCTCTTTCGCGTCGCGAGCTCCCCAGGAAAAAAACCCAGGGGATTCTGAAGGAGGAATGGCAAAGGCGCGAGGTATCGAGCGTTTGTCCGCGGCCATTTTGGCCCAGTGACTGGCCACCTATCTGACCAGGCCGAACCGCGGCCCGCTACCTTATATCGAGACAGGAAAGGTTCCACCCTTTACTCTTGAGATGTATCATCGCCGCTCACGCGGTTCCTTCCTACTTTTGGCACGCTCGTTAAAACGATACAACAGGGTTGGACGTATGCTTCGCCTTGGGCGAAGAGTCTGGTTGGGTCTCCCGACCAGCTTCAAACTTGGTGGCGGAGCTGGCCGTTGGTGGTCAGCTCTAGCTCTACCCCTTGCTATCCACGGCGCTATCTGGTGGACTTCCGACATGGTGGATCATCAGGGTGAAGTGGCTCTACCTTGAGGAACTCTATACCATCGCAAGGACACTTGCACTGCTGCCTCTGCTCTCGCAGCGTCTGCGCTACTACACATCCTAAAGTCCACCCACCTACGCCAATGTGCAATTTCTTCGAATGTTCTATGCATGGTAACATGCGTTATGACATCGCGCCGCCTGCACCTCCTCGCGAAGTGATGGCAAGCTCACCTCATAACCAACGGCCACGCACAACCGACATCGACCTATGGGGCCACTGGATTGGCATCGCTATCTTTTGCCTCCTCTGGGTCGCCACCGGGTGCGCTGTTGGACAGATGCAGCGTGGTGCAGACGACGCGCGTACTACGGGCCCTCATTGGGACTGAGTGCATGCCTGGATCAACGTGACCACAGGCACTATGAGCCCCTCCCAGCAGGCCGCCGCTTTACAGCGTGGCCTTGGAGGTGTCGCAAGTACCATAGCCATGAGAGTACCTTCCCCGAGCCGGGGGCAGAGTTGGAGCCGGCTGCGGGTCTGAGGTAGCCCATTGGTTCTGGCCAGCAGGAAGGGCGGACAGGTTAGGGGCCCTGGGTTTGGGAATGTTTCTGAGTTTTCTTTGGCAGGGCTGGGCCTAAACGGTGTTTTTGGCGATTTCGTGGGCCGTTTTCGTTTCGACTTCGTTTTGAGGTAAAGGCGGGTTCGAGACAAAAGCGAGGGAAAACGAAAACAAAACGAACACGAAAAACACCGTTTAGGTTCAGCATTGTTTTTCGGCACCAAGGAACCGTTCTCGGGCCCTGGGATCGTCAGAAACGGATCTGGTGCGAAACAGCCGCACCAAATGGACGCCAAGGGACCGATTTTGAGCGGATGTTGCCTCGTCCCGCCTGCCGCACGATTTTTTTCGTGGCCCACTTCAGAGCCCGTGGCCGCCTCCAGGGATAGAGGGTCTCCCGCGCAAGAGGGGGGGGGGGCGCACGATTTCTTCGCGGCCCATTTCAGAGCCCCTGGCCACCTCCAAGGATGGGGGACATCCCGCGCAAGAGGGGGGGGTGGCCGCGTGATTTTTTCGTGGTCCATTTCAGAGCCCCTGGCCGCCTCCATGGCTAGGGGATATCCAGTGCAAGAGGGGGGGGGGGGGGCAAACGGCCAGGAGGGCCCATTATGCGGCGCGTTTCCGTTTTCACCTTCCGGGGCCAGGTCATAAGCGGGCTCCAGTGTCGTTGTCACCATTGGAAGCGAATCATTTGGAAGTGCCCTGCCACGCGACGCCGCTAGAAGCGCTTGCTCAGTCTGGCATTACTCTCCGGTGTTTTGAGCGCGATCGGATGGTTGTGGGTTTAAGTGTCTCAGTCGTGGCAGGGTTCACCGGCCGCTGCCCAGGTGCAGAATTGGGTTCCGAGGTGCATTCAACAGAGCGGGGTCGGTCTCCGAGTTTCAGTGCCGAGGCGTCCACAGAGATGTTGCACTCGGCGGGCTTTGAAGAGGGGGGGCATCTCGTCCGAGGTTGCTTTTTTGTTTTCATAGCGCGCCTTGTCAGCCGCGTGACTCAGCGCACCGAGCGGGGGTAAAACAGGGCTAGGATCAGGGTAAATCGCTCCAGAGCGTTCCGGAGCGCTCTCAGAGCGTTCCGGAACGCTCTGGAGCGGCCGCGGCGCCCAATACATCCTCCAAACCCGCGGATTCTCAGAGATTTCGAGTTATCCCGATCCGATTTTGTCCCGATCTTCGCCTCGTTTTAGGGGGGACGAGTCAGCTCGGAGGACGGGGGAGCCTCCCCCGTCCTCCGAGCCGACCCGTCGCTGCCACGGCGGGGAAGCGAAAGGCACTCTCGCCGTGCGGCTCCGCCTGCGGGGCTCCCCATATTTCATGGGCCTGTTTTCCACCACCACCACCATAAGTTGGAGGGGGGAAGGAGGAGGAGGAGGAGGAGGAGGAGGAGGAGGAGGACGACGAGGAGGAGGATGAGGAGGAGGACGAGGAGGAGGAGGAGGAGGACCCCCTCCCCCTCCCACTTATGGTAGTGGTGGTGGAAAACACGCCCACCAATATTGGTCCCCTGGAGAGAGGGGTTCGCTCGGGCGGTGGATGTCACGAAGGCAGCGCGGCGGAGAGGTGGAGGAACTGTTCGCCCGTCTTTTTTCAGGAGGGGAAGACACACACACACACACACACACACAGGCACAATGAATCGTCGATTCCCCAGAAAATAGGGGGAAATATGGGTAGTGGGGGAAAGACGAAGCCCTAGAGGATATGGGAGAATATGGGGTGTATTTTTATTTGCGTGTATTTATTTGTGTGTCCCAGGGCCCCTTCACTTTTGACCCATGGATCCCCCTGTTGGTTTATGTTGTTCCCATCCTACCCAAAGGTCGCATCCCAGACATACATTCGAACACCCAGAAAAGTGTCGAAAGAGGGTCGAAACAGTGTCGAAACAGTGTCGGACGAGTGTCTCCCGAGGCCCGACACGTGAAAACCCGGGAGTTTCGGTACTTTTTTGGTGCTCGAAATTCTCTCTGGTGATCAAGGCTATAGTACAGTGCCGTTTTTAATACATGCTCCGCGTGCGGATCATGTATTAAACATGCAGGGTTTAGTATTAAAAACAACGATGAGTTCATGCATGAATGAATTCATACATTCATCGTGTGTTGCAAGTCAGATGCTTTTACACATCCTATGTATTAAACACTGCCCTGCAGGTTGGAACATCATGGCTGTTGAGGAGCGTCGCTTGGGGTCACAGGGGAGCTCCTGCCCCGGACCTGGCATCGCTCGGACGTGTGCATTTTTTCTCGGCGAGGGCCATCGAGGTGCATCCTTGATCATTCGGCGAAAAAACCACGCACGAAACCGAAAGAAACACAGGGAATGGACGTTCGAGCGATGCCCAGCGGCGCAGCGGTTCTTCAGGAATTCTTCCCGACAGCGCCTGCCCGCCCCGCGCGGTGGCGGCCGCGGCGGAGGAGGGCGCCGGCCGGGCAGAGGGGCGCACGGGCAGCCGCAGAGAGAGGGGGAGGGCGAGCCTAGGCCTCCTACTACCCTCGTCAAATTAACCTCAACAGTTGCTGGCACGTCATTTCGATTTCGGCGCGCCCCTCAATGTCGACATGCCGCCCCTTCAATGTGGGGGCGAGGGCAAAGATAGTCTGACCGAAGTTGACTCGAAAGTTTGACGTCGACCGACATTGGAGGGGCGGCGCATGCAAGTACCCCGCACTCATCGATACTCGGCCCCAGATCTTCCGACAAGCAGCTCAACCACGTCAGACATTTTTGAGGTTAATTTTGACGAGGGTTGTAGATTTAAGTCGGGCCTGTCCCTCCACGGGAGGAATCTTCAAAAATAGTCAACAGAAAGAGACTGGGGAGGATGTTTGGAGAATTCTTGGCCATCTCGGAGTATTTTTGGACTTTTTTCATTTTTCGTCCAGAATCTGCCTGTAGGGGGCATGCCCGACCTCATCCTGGATGAGGTCGGAGTAGATGGGGTCGGAGGAGCGCGCCGCATCGCCGATGAATCGCCGACGCATCGGCGATGCGGCTCGACGCGGAGCCCGATTTTCTCCGCGCTGGCATCGCCGGTGAATCTTCGACGTCGCCAGTGCATCGCCGATGCATCGGCGATTCACTGGCGATGCGGCGCGATCCTTCGACCCCGTCTACGCGGACCCCATCCGGGAGGCCTCTAGAGAGAGCGGATGAGAGTCAAGACGCAGATGCGAGCGTGCTTCGTATGTCTGCCCGCTCCGGTGGTTGCGCATCGGGGCTCTGCCTCCACCAGGGCCTGCTCAGCTGCACGGGCAAGCTGGAGCACAAGTGCATTGGCCAACACGTATTGAACAGCGCGACGTAAACATGAGCTTTCTGGCGGTCCGCGCGGATTTCTTGGATCTGCGCTCGACCCCCATCCCTGCCGCGCGGAGCGCACCAGGGGCGGCGCTGGAGGCGCGGACAGCCAGAAGGTGCATGTTTATGCTGTTTCCTACCCCTATAGTTTAGCCAAGAGGGGCGTTCGGGCGGCGACGCCGCTCGGGCGGGGTCGACGACGACGACGACGACGACGGCGGCGATGACGGCGGCGGCGGCGGCGACGGCGGCGGCGACGGCGGCGGCGACGGCGACGGCGACGGCGACGACGACGACGGCGACGGCGACGACGGCGAGGCCAACGACGACGCTCCTCCCCCTCAGGTGCTCCGCACCGCGGACGTGCTGCTGCTGTGCACGGGCGCAGGCCTGGCCGCGCGGCGCCCTGCGTCGAGGGGGCATCGGGGGCGTTCGGGAGGTGGGCGAGGACCGGGCTGCCCGGGAAGAGTACAATGGCTTGGCATCGCTCGGACGTGTGCATTTTTCTTTCGGCGAGGACACCTGAGGAGCATCCCTGATCATGTGGCGAACCACGCACGAAGCCAGAAAAAGCACAGGGAGTGGACGTCCGAGCGATGGCGAGGTGGAGGCCCAGGCCAAGAAACGCCCTGCTCGCCTGCAGGGCGCCCTGTTTTTTTTGTCGGTTGCCATGGTTTTGCGATGGAAGGCGTGACTTTTTGTCGCACCAAACAAAGAGCAATGGTCGTCCTTCGTGCTCGTTTGATGTTCTGGTGCATCCTGGGGGAGGGCACCTTCGAATGTTCTTCAGGTTGGCCGGCGGAGGGTCTCATGTTCTTGATTGCAGGATCTGTTTTTGTCCCAGGACCAGCCGCCTGAGTGCAATTTTCACAGTTGTTTTTCAGGGAGTCTTCTTGGAAGCTGATTTGAGCACCTGTCTTTGATTTAATGTTCGGAAGGCTGCTAAAGGCCGCCCAAGGCCACTGCAGGCCCCTGAAGGCCGCCAAAGGCAACTAAAGGTCGTTAAAGGCCACTAAAGACCGCTAATAATTTACGAGAGGCTGCTAACGGCCACCAAAGGCTACTAGAGCGAGGTGGTGTATGTCAGAATGAGCTTCCAACAATACTTGCTCACCTAATTGCTTGGTGTGTTTTCGTCGCGCTGGAATTCTCGTATCATTTTTGCCTCTTGGGGCCGTTTTCGGGTTTCTGAGCCGTCAGAAACTGACCGGGATTGAACAAATCCCCCTACGGAGGTCCGCCAGACGGTTCTTCGACATGATTTGCCAAGCTTGCATTACCTCCACAGGCTGATGACTTTCGAAGTTCGCGGTGCTCTCGCGAGTTCGTTTGCTCCAGTGTGTTTTCTAACCTCGTGGTGCTTTCCAGCAGCTGCGCCTCGTCGAGAGCTTTCCGAGGCTGCCCGGACCGCCCCGCGGACCTGCGACAGTTTCCGTTGATGTCGTTGCTTGTTCCCCTGATGCAGCCCGATCCGATGCGTATTTCGATTCTTAGGCGTACGCCACACCGCCGACCCCTTGGGGGACTGGGCGTTGTTGCGTGCTGCTCCTGGGCCTTCACAGGGGGTCCTTGGGGGCATTTTCGGGGCCTCTCGGTCTGACATTCTCAGTCTTCGCTGTGCACGCATGGGGAATCGGGCGAGAACCAACGTATACAGACGGCGGGCATCTGTCAAATCACCCGACGAATGAGTATCGAATGGCCTTCGGCACAGCTCGCCACCGTGCTTGGGTTGCGGGTCTGAGGCCATTCGGATGGCTGGGGTCTCGTGGGAGGCGTCTCGGGGGCGTCTTGGAGGCAGTTTTTGAACCTCTCGGGGGCCTCCTGGGAGCCTCTTAGAAGCTTTTTGCGGCCATCTTGGGGCTTCCTGAGGGCCTGTTAGGGGCTTCTTGGGGCAACCCGGAGGCGTCTTGGGGTGGAAGACTCGAAATGTCCGTTCGGATTCCGCCTCTTGGCCCCCTCTTGGGGCTGTCCTGGGGCCCTCCTGGGGCTTCTTGGGCCGTCTTGGGGCCCTCTTGGGTTGTCTTGGAGCCCTCTTGGGGGCCTCTTGGGGCGATCTTGACGGCCTCTTGGGCTGTCTGGGACGTTGGGAACGCTCAAGAGGCGAATGTGCTAGAAATGTAAGTTTCCCAAGGGCAATGGTACGAGTTTTGCTTATGGAGGCCCTCTTGGGACGCCCCGTGGGGGCGTCTTGGGGGCCTCTTGGGCCGTCTTGCAGCGTGGGCGCCTTGGATCGATCTTTCAGCGACTCGTGGCCCTCGTGGACCGCCCCAAGGGCTTCTCGGGGCCCTCTTGGCATGTTTTGGGGCCCTTGGCCCCCCCAGGTGCGTTCCGACGGATCCTGGGGGACCCCCCTTCAACTCGCAGTGGTTAGAACATCACGTTGTGGCCGTGAAAACCCAAGTTCGATTCTTGGAGCTGGCAACTGTTGATAGCTCAGTTGGTTAGAGCGAAGGTGGATTTTTATGTTATAGGTCTGAATGCCATATGTTGCAGTTTAGCAGTTTAGCCTGATCACCTAAACCAATTCTTACTGGGGTTTGAGAAGGGGGGAAAACCTCACACGCCGAGGAACCCCAAGAGGTCGGCGGATGAAGCGAGTTTTTTGGAAGCTCCTCCGCTGAAGGCCGCTGAGGGCCACTATAGAGGCCGCTAAACAGCCACGGAAGGCAACTAACGGCCGCTAACGGCGACTGAAGTCTGCTAGACAAGGGCGGCCCCAGCGCCGGTCCGAGAAATCCACGCGGGCCTCCGATGGTTTCTGTTCAGGTCATTGTTGGTTCCCCGATGCATCGGCACGGACTCAAGATCGAAGCGGACCGGCGTCTCCAGGACGTGCAGTGGGGCCATGTGTCACCGCCCACCAAACCACCCCAACCCAGCCCGAAGGCCCCGAGTTGCCTTCCATTTCCAGTGGGGGGGGGTCGGGGAACCGTGAAAAAACATGTTTCAAGCCCGTACCCCCCAAACCCGCAATTCGGGTCTTCGGGTTGGGTCGGTGGTGACTGGTAGGTAGTCAATGTGAGCATCGGGTCGGATCGGACCAGAGGCAGATCGGCATCGAATCGGATCGCGCTGGCCGAAATCTGTATCGAATTGGACCGATCGGATGCACATGGGCCCTGGCTGCGCTATGGAGGAGGCAAAAGGCCTAGAGGCGCCGCGGTTCCAGCCAGAGAGTGCGGGACAGCCCAGCGCAGGACTTTTCTGACGATGTGTGTTTGCTCCATCCGCCCCCGCGCTTCCTCCTCCCGTTGCGTTGCTGTTCCGCCCCGCCGCCTGCGGGCGCCTGGGACGCTTCGCCCGCCGCCTCCTGCACCACCTCTCCCGGCCCCCAAGCCACCTGGCGCGCCCTTGGGCGGTCACGCCGCAATACCCTTGTCCAGCCATCTGGCTGCGTTGCTCCTGCCTCCGCACGGCTCAGTGCTGTGCCTACTCCTCGGCGCGCCGCGGTACCTCTGCCGTTCGTGGTGCCCCACTGCGCCCGCCCGCCTGCTCCAGCTGCGGCGAACTGTTCGACCTCTGAGCGTCCCTTCTTCCTCTCGGCCGTTCCCCCCGCCTCTTTGCCCGCCGGCCCGTTCGGTAGTTAGTGATCCTTTCTAGCTTCTCGTTGGAGCGGAGTTCGCCGCCTCGCCGCCTCGCCGCTGACGGAAAAAGTTTGTTGCACCCGCGGCCTCGTGCACGGCAGGTTCGCGTCCTTTCGACCTGCGGCGACCCCGCCGCCGGCGTTCAACGTTGAGCGCTGCCAGCCGCCCAGAATCGGTCGATGGTGAACAATCCTGACGTTTCGGGAAGGGCCGATCGTTCAAGGCTGAACGATCCCCGCGGTGTCAGGAACCAACGCCGGGGTCGACGCGACACGGACCTGCCGTGGGTCTCCACCCGCACCCAGAGGCACTTTTTCGTCCTGGTCGACTTGGAAGGGCCACGGCGCCCGAGGAAGGGAAAGCTGCATAACCACAAAAGTCCGCGCGGATTTTTGCTCATGTCGGTGCTGGGCCCCCTTCGCAGGCCTGGAGGTTGACACCGACACCAATATCGGCGGTGTGCCTCTACCGAGGGGAGAAGATCCCGATCTCGGTGATGGTGGTGATATTCTGGCTTCCAAGGTGGCCGAAATATTACCACCAACACCGAGATCTAGGATCGTCTTCCCCCTGTGGAGGCAGCCCCCTGTGTTGGTGTTGGTGCCCATCTCTGGGCCTCCAACCCCTGGCGGCGCCTCCTGCGCCCCGCCCCGCGCGCCGGGGAGGAGGGTGTGTGTGGCGCCGATCCCAAGAATCCGCGCGGACCCAGACTAACCCGGCCCCAGATATCCGACGCCGTGATTCTTCCCGGAGGAATCGGCCACCTCCCATGGGGGGCAGCTTCCCGTCCTGGATCCCTTTCTGACGGCCCGCGGCCTGAAACCTGAGACGAAGCCAGGACGGGGGTAACATCGAACAGGGATGAGTCGAGGATCTATGAGATCCAGCGGTTCTGGAAGATGCGTCGGGCGCCGCGGCCTTTTCAGAGCGTTCTGGAACGCACCGAGAGCGTTCCGAAACGCTTTGGGACAATTTGGCTCCTGTCCTGGCCCCGCCCAGAAATTGGCCGCCGAGTCAAGAGAAGGCGTTGGGATTAGAAACGAAGATCGTCGGAGATCTGGGGCCTCAGGGCGTCCCGACGTGGGCCCTGAAGGCCTCACCCCAATCTGCAGGGCGCGCCCGTCCGCGATGGGGCACGCGGGCGGTGGTGCGATGCTTTGTGCCTCTGTCCGCGGCGAGCCAAGCCGGCTCGATCCGCTGCGCATTTGGACCCGCATCTCGGGGGCGGCCAAGAGGGGGGGTGGATGACTAGGGGGGGAGGTGTATCATGACTTGGGCCATGATGTTTCCTCAGAGTCCATGGCGCCTCTTCTGGTTTCAGTGCGTCCCCGGCCCCGCCCCACCCTGGGCAGCGCGCGTGCCGCCGGCCATGATTGGCGCCCCCCCCTCTTGGACGCCCCCCTCTTTCTGGACGCCCGAAATGGGTACGGACAGAATGCCTCGCTCCTCCTCGCTCCTCCTCGCTGCTCCTTCCTCACTGCTCCTTCCTCGCTCCTCCTTCCTCGCTCCTCCTGCCTCGCTCCTCCTCCTCCTCCTCCTCCTCCTCCTCCTCCTCCTGGTACAATGCCCAACAGCAGTTCCTGCTCATTTTGAACAGGACTCGCTGCCCGCGCCGCCGCGGCCTGTGTCCATTCGAGACAGCGGGCCGCCTGCCCAGCAGCGGCCGCTGTTGGTTTGGGACAACATTTGCTGTTGGGCATTGTACCCACCTTTTCGGCACCCGCTTCCCCAGAAACTATAGGAAAATACGGGCAGTGGGGGGGAAACCGAGAAAATATGGGAAAAC